TAGGTTTAGGTTAGACATCAGGAGGCGCTATTTCACAGTCAGGGCAGCTAGGGTCTGGAACCAATTTCCAAGAGGAGTGGTGCTGGCTCCTACCCTGGGGGTTGTTAAGATGAGGTTAGATGAAAACCTTGCTGGGGTCCTTTGACCCCCGTACTCTTTCCTGCCATGGCAGGGGGTCGGACTAGATGATCTGCTAAGGTCCCTTCCGACCCTAGCAACTATGAAACTATGAATTCAGCTTCAAGCTTTTTGACTGTCTGTACTTAACCTTATGCTCCATTGTTGAATACATCAAGTCACTTTTGTTACTAGCAGTTTTGGTGAAGTCATTTTTACTGGATGCAGTCTAGAAGCTCAGACACCTGTGATAAGTAGTAATGAACCTGCACACTTCATCTGCCTCCTCAACCTTTGCCCCAAGAGGAGCAACGCTTAGAGCAGTGGTTCTCAACTTTTTTTGTACCAGGACCCACTTGTAAATGGCCAGTCTCAACCCAGTGCCCCTCACTCCCAACCCACTGCCTCCCATGCCCAAGCCCTAGCCCCACAGTGTGGGGCAGGAGCTGGGTCTGTGGGGAACGGGGGACCCCCCAAGCAGCCCCTTGCAGGCTGGATCTGACAGCCTGCAAGGGAGAAAGTCATGATTTTCCATTTTTTCTCCTTGAAAAGGAGAACCCATTTTTTTTTTTTTTTTAAGTCTCTTGACTCATTTTTAAAGATTGTTTACAACCCTTTCATATATTCTTGCAACCCACTTTCAGATTGTGACCCACAGGTTGAAAAATGCTAGCTTAGAGCCTCCTTATGCCTCCCTAATTCTGTACTGAAGGGGGTAAAAACATTCTGAGGATTAAGCAAGACAAGAACAAGAAGTAAACTTGAGACTTCAGCAGATGGCAGTTTTGTTCAACACTAGAATAAAATGACTGCTCTGCTATGGATACATGGATAGAAGTGTAGATGCATCTCGTACACGAAAGGTAGCAGAAAGTAATACGGTTGCTACAGAGACAAGTCACCAGCAAAGAAAGCATCCCCTCTGTATGCAGTGCAGTTCCCCCTTTGCAGGAGCCAAGTATACAGACACAGTTAGCCATGTCAGACTGAAGTCTAAGAGAAGGCAGGGTAGATTTGTACCTTACAGACCAACTAAGGCATACACATATATGCATACACATAGCATAAGCTTTTGTAGGCTACAGTTCACTTCATCAGATGCCATGTAAGGACATACTGAGAGTATTGTAGGAGAGAGAGATCTGAATATACAGGTTGAAGGGAGGAGGAGGAAGAAGAGAGGGGGCAGTGCTTGGAGAAACAAAAAAACAACAACTCAGAAACAAAAGGAATCACAAAAATCTAACTCAGGTCATGGAATAAGAATCTAGAGTCCCTGTTTAAACCATATTTAACACTATCCAGTCTGTGGATGATTTCTTGTTCCATATGTTCCTGTTCAAAATCAATTTTTAAAAGGTTTGCTGTCTGAGAACAGGAAGCCTGAGGTCAAAATGGAGCACCTAGGGCAGTGGTTCTCAACCTTTTTAGACTCAAGACACCCCTGGATGGACTCAGGGCCCCACTTGGAAGATGCCGGCTCTTAGCTTTCAGTCTTTCTGTTGCAAAGAACTGAGAAAGAGCACAACTATGGATTTATATTTGAAATCTCTGAAGCCTAACAACACTGTCTGTAAGCCAAGACAGGTTTGTCTCCCATGGCTATTTTGAAATGGTCATCTTTTTTCCAGTAGAGGTTGAAAGTCATTCATGATGGGTACTCAACCCATGGCCTGTGGGCCATGGCATCTGGCCCACAGATCAGGAAGTGTGGCAGTGGGGAGCAGCGGCAATTAACACTGCCACTCGTCTGCTGCTGCCAAATTCCCAAGCCCTGTGTGGCCAGATTGGGGCTGAGCCATACCATCCCCACAGAGGCTAAGGCCTGCAGACAGACCTGTTGTGTGATATTTGGGTTGTTTTTGAAGTCGAGTATGGCTCTCTCTTCTGCAAGACCGAGGCTGCAACAGAAAAATGCGTTTTTGCGATCTAAAAGCGAGCATGGAGGTGGAAACAGTTTGTATACAGGTCCAGTGAGGGCTGCAGCCCTGAGGTATAATTCAGGAGCTGCCCTTCTTGCACTGGGCACGTGTCTGGTCTGTGACAGGCTGATTGTTGCATGGTTCCTTGTCATGGAAATATCCCATTAGCCTCAATTAGCAGAAAAAAAAGCATCAGGGTTTCCAAACAGCTGCACCATACTGAGTTGTACAATAGGGCAGAACCCCCCCCCCATGCTTTGTGCTGCTTGCACCCTGGATCTTTGTTCCAGCAAAGGAATCTGACCACCTTGGCTTGCCTCTTTTACCTGTTTATGCCTCATCCTGAAAAGCAGAATGTTATTGGGCAGGGCCAGCTTTTTGTGAAGTCCAGCAAAGTCTGGGACGTATTTCTCCCTGAAACACTTAAAGGAGTCAGCCACGTTGTGCAGAAAGCTGACTCACTATTAATAGGATGAAAAGCCCAGGAAATGTTGGTATCTTCATGTGACATTACAAAGACAGCTGCACATGGATTGGCAGTTAAATATACCAAAGCCTTCCCTTTTGCTCACGCATCTTTGGCCAAAGTACCAGTCTACTCCTCTGTCAGGAGTGGCACTTCCAAAGTGTCAATGACCTGTCTATCTGCTATCAAAATTATGCCCAGGCCTCATCATAGTCTATACCAAGCCTAACCTGAACTGAGGCAAGGTACAAATTCCACAGTATTTCAGTGCAGCAGATCAAGTCGTGCAAAATGGAAGAAGTACAGAGGAAGTAATGGAGAGGCTGGCTCACGTAGCCCAAAATGAAGGCAGAAAAAAAAAAGATATAGCTGCTTTTCAGAACAGACCCAAAGCAAGCACACCTGGGAAGCAAGAGAACTAAATTTCAGCTCACCATTATTGGTGTTTGGTGTGAAACCAAACTAGCCATTGTAGGCCTCGGGGGAGATGGGATTAATTAGGAGATTGATTAGCACGTGTAGAAATCAGAGGCCCTAGTAACAGTATGAGCACTAGGTCTGAGAACAGACATCTCAGCACATCTCTGGTTTCAGTGGATGTGCTGGAAAAGTTAGTTTTGCATCTCAGAAGGCCAGAGGGAAAACGC